GACGCGCGACGAGCTCGAGCGGCTCGCCGACGACGGCTGCTACCGCGGCGGCATGTGTCGCCGCGACGACCGGCCCGGCGCGCACTCGCAGTGCCCCTTGATCGCGGCCGACGCGCCGCATCTCGGACTCCGCGAGTCGACGTTCGACCCCAAGCCCTGCGCGGCCTACCCGTCGACGGACGCGGACTGCTTCCCCTTCGCCGCGAGCGCCGAGGTCATCTCCGCGTCGCTGGCGACGTCCGTCGCGGGGTGCGCGTACGCGCGCGCGTTCGTCGACCGCGCGGTGGGGCTCGTCAACGGCACCGACCCGGCCGCGGACCTGCCGACCTTCGTGCCCGGCGTCGACGCGCTCAGCGGCCACTTCTGGCGGCGCTGCGGCGCCGAGTCCCTGCGCGTCGCCTGGCTGCCCGCGGGCCGCTTCCACAACGCGCCGGGCGCGGGCTCGGAGCGGATCGCCATGGAGCCCAAGCCGCAGTCGACGGTCGTCCACGGCCTCAAGTTCTACAACCCGGCCGTCGACGCGGACAGGTGGTTCCGCGCGGCCTACGACGCGACGAAGCACTCGGCGACGACGCTGCCGCCCATGTTCTTCGAGTTCGCCTACGCGACGGCGGCGGCCGCCGCGACCGTCGCGCACGGGTCCGCGCGCGCGATGGCGGCCAACGCGTTCCTCTTCGAGAAGAACGTTCACGGCAAGCCGCTCCACCAGGCCGAGTTCGCCTACGACCCCTGGGTGGCCCACGTCGCCGCCGCGACCGCGGCCTTCGCGAAGGGCCTCGAGCCCGACCCCTGGTAAGTTACGAACTGCGGGAGTCGGAGATTTGGGATTCGACCTCAGGCTCAGGCCGTTCGCCGGGCCGCGCGCCACGACCGAGTCGAATCGATGGCGGACACTAGCGTTGGCATCATCCTCAAAACCATCGCGCGCCGATCGAGCACGATGGTCGCAGATCAGAGTGAGACTGCGTTACGGGTATCCTAGGCGTATCCTGGCTCCTCTGCTCCCCCGCCGCGGCCGGAAAGGCGGAGCGGGGACTGCGAAGCCAGGCCGGGGAATGAGAATGTGCACGCCGCAGCGTGCAGGGAGGCGGGCGGGCGCCACGGCACCGCGCCGGGGAGGAACGGCGGTGCGGCGTGCCCTGCGGGCGCGCCGCGCTGAGGCCGAAGAGCGGGAACCGGCGTAGAACCCCGCAGGGCCTTCGCTGTTCCGGGCGTAGGGAGGAAGTAGGCGCGGGCTCTGGCGGGCGACCCCGCGGGGTCGCCCGCGGCCTCAGGCGCGGGAGTGTTGTGCACGCCGCGGCGTGCAGGGAGGCGGGCGGGAGGAGCGGCCCGTTGGCCAGGTTGGTTCGGTAGGGCCGCGGGCCGCCAGGCCTAGGCGAGAGGAAGGTCGACGAGCTCGTTTCTGTCGTTGACGCGGAGCCCGGCGATCATTACTTGCCGCGGTCTGGCCCTTGCAGGGCCTGACGGAGCGTCATGTCGCCGTCGATGGTGTGGTCGCCGGGGTAGGTCGGGGGCGGCGCCTGGCGGCGCGGCTCGTGGAGGTGCCGCATGTCTGGAGCGTGGAGCTCCGTGTCGACGGGGTCGTAGACCGTCGTGCGTGGCACGGCGCTGGCGGCGAGGCCGTGCGCCGCGTGCTCGGCTGCGAAGGAGAGCACCGTGGGCATGGCGTAGCTGCACAGGGACGGCATGAGCGGCGACATCTCGTGTCCGGCCGACGCGACGAGGGCGAGCGCCATCACCGGGAGGAGCGCGAGGCCGCTGACGCGGCCGGCTACGGCGCTTGAGGCGGTGGAGTCGCGCCAGTTCCGGTGTGACGCGCCGATGTCGCTGCCCATGTCGAGGTGCGTGCGGCGTTTGCGGCTTCGCCGCGGGGGCTCGTCGTCGGGCGGCTCCCCCGGAGGCGGACTGCCGTCGGCGGGCTCCCCCGCGAGCGCGGGGTCGTGCTCCCCCGCGAGCGGAGAGCGCAGCTCCCCCGGAGCCGCGGCTTCGTCGGCCGCGGGCGCCGTGTAGTTTCCGCCGTCCGTGCCGGGCTGCGAGTTCGGCAGGGTGTCCAGTGGCAGGTAGCTGAAGTGCGGCGCCGTGTGGGTCGGCGGGAGCGGCGGCGGAATCATGGGCGCCATGCGGACGTAGATCATCTTGAGGTTCCGCCAGGTCATGAGCTTGACCTGCGCGCCCGCGGGCGTGACCATGAACTTGGAGAGGCCCTGGGCGGACTCCGTCGTGTGGAACCGGTAGCCCTGCTCCTCGAGCTGGCCCTCGCTGAAGATGGAGACGGCGAAGGTCGGGAAGTGGTTGTCGCGCTCGACCGGGATGCGCGTGCCGTCGGGCGTGACCAAGTCGGAACTGTAGACGCCGTGGTTGGCGTGGGCGCGGTCCCCGCCGTCGCGTAGGGCCGTGGGAGAGGCCCAGTGCGTCGACGGCTCCTGGAGCGCGGCGACGTCGCCACTCGAGCCCGGCCGCTCGAGATGCCGCCGCGCCCGCGACGTCCATCCGCCGTCGAGTTGAGCACGCCGACGCGCCTCGACGGGTCGCAGATGCGCCGCTGCGCCTCGGAATCCGCGTTCGACCCGACGAGCGCGGGCATCTCCGTCGCCGCGCGGACCGCGCGCAGGAACGCCGAGATGCTCCAGCGCCGCCCGTCGGAACGCGCGCGGCAAGAGCCGGCGTCCATCGTTCGCCGGCTCGTCGACCCACAGCGTCGCGATGGCGACGCGCGCTTGACGAGCCGCACGGACGATCCGCGGCGCCATCGGGCCCTCTCTCTAGGACGCGTCGCTCAACTGCCACAAGTCGCCGAAAAATTTACGCGCCGAGTCGGACGATTGGGTCGTTGTGTAACTAGCCGCCGCCGAGGATCAGCGATGGACAGGATGCTCACGAGCGCGAGGTTCACCGTGACCGCGATGAGCGTGAGCTGGAACCGGTCGATGGTCTTCGCGCCGACGCACTTGCCGATGAGCGGGCAGTGGTGGTCCAGGTCCATCACGCAGACGCCGCAGTCGTAGCAGTGCCGCGCGCCCTTGGGCCGGTCGACGTCGCAGATCTCGCAGCGGTTGAAGTACGGCTCGCCGTCGTCCGTCGTCTGCGCGGCGGCGGCGCGGCGGTAGACGATCCCGGGATCCGCGCACGCGACGGACGAGAAGACCGACAGCAGCCCGAGGCACCCGAGCGCGCCGCCGGCGACGACGGCGACGTGCATGCGCACGGCGACGACGCCGAGGAAGAGCCCGTAGGTGACGACGATGAGCACGTACGACGACACGCAGCCGCAGCGATGCGGGCCGACGCTCCAGGCCCAGGGCAGGTCCCTCTCTTTTCGGCCGCAGAGAAGTCGATGGTTGCCGACCCGCGCGCAGCAGTGGAACGTGTCCGTGAAAAGGAGATTCTTAGGGTCGAGTGCCTCGAGACGAGCCGCATTGCCGTCTGTTTCAGCGGGAACGACGCTCATCGCGCTATCGATCGGGCTGCCATCGCGCTAGTATTGGTCGGCTTGAATGTTCAAGGCAACGGCAAGCGAGAGATTTTCTATTTGGGAGCCCGAACGAGACGTCTTGTTCTCTGCACGCAGACGCCGGGAGCGTCGGGAGCGGGTCCGCGGTCCCCCCGACACTCGCAGCCCCCCCCCCCGATGGGCACGCGGACGCTGACGCTGACGGAGACGGTGGCGTCGCCCCTGCCCGCCCGCCTCCCGCCGAACCAGGAGCTCGCGCGGAATCTGGCCTCCGCGGCCCTCGCCATGTCGACGTCCATGTGCTCCGTGGCGACGGCGGCGGCCCTCGTGACGGCCCAGCAGCGGGCCCTCGCCGACGCCTACGCCGCGCCGCGCGGCGCCCTCGAGAGCCTGTGCGGCCCTTTGGCGGACGAGGTGCTCCGGTGGTGCGGCCTGCGGACGCTCGGCCGCGCGGCGTGCTGCTCGCGGCTCCTGCGGGAGCACTGCTACGCGCCCCACCTCTACGGCGCGGCCAAGGTCGGCCTCGCGCTCCAGCGGCGCTTCCCCCGGCCCCGGACCCTGGGCGAGGCGCGGTTTCTCTGCGCGCCGGAGCCGCGCAAGGGCGGTCCCCGCGCGCCGCGCGCGCCGGGCGACGCCGTGCGCGCGCCCCTGGCGTCCTTCGTGCTGGGCTGCACGGGGTCCTCCGTCGTCGAGGACGAGGACGACTTCGAGGGCTTCGCCGCGAACCGCGCGTGGCTCGACGCGAAGCGGCGGTACCGCGCGCACGTCGTGCGGTCCCAGCGCTGCCTCCGGGCCCTGCGGGACACGGGGCGCCTCCCGCCGGGCATCGAGGTCTGCTACGTCAGCTCCGTCCACGACGGCGCCTTCGTCTCCCGCGTGTCCGCGACGCGCCGCGCGCGCGAGCCGCCGCCGGCGGGCGTCGCGCCGCGGCGCCGCGCGGCGGCGCCCGAGCGCGCGCTCGTCCACCTGAGCTGCGGCCACAGCAGCTGGCGCGTCGCGGGGGAGCGCGGCGCGACGCCGTCGCGCCAGGCCGCGGGCAACATCCGCGCGGCCGTCGACATCGAGGCGTCGGCGTTGCGATCCCGGGACCTCCGGTCGCTCGTCTGCGAGCACCTCGTCTGCGACGCGCGCCTGCCGACGCTCCGCGAGCTGTCCGTCGTCGCGCTGCACGCCGTGCGCAATGCCGACGCGCCCGTGGACGTCGCCGCGCAGTCCAGCTCGTCGCGCTCCTCGGCTGCGGCGGCCTCCGGTCGCTCCAGCTCCGCGCGCCGCGCGCGATCGCCTTCCCGCCGGACGCCAACGCCGACGGCGCCTACCTCGACGACGTCGACGTCGCCGCCGCCTTCGCGGTGGCGAAGCGCCACTTCCCGGACCTCGCGCGCTTCTCCGTCGTCGTCGCCGACGGCCGCGGCGGCCAGGCGACGAAGAGCGCCGCCGCCTGACGACGATGTCCCCCTGTCCTCTCCACTAACTGGCGTCCTCAGTAGCCACGTCCTCTAGTGCATATAAGGACGTCCTCAGTTCTACGTTAGATTTAGATAACCGGCGCTTAGTTCGCGAGCGCGGACAGGATCGCGCTCCAGAAGAAGGCGACGACGTTGGACGCGAGGAGCTGGAACTCGGCGGGCACGAAGGCGAAGTTGAGGTAGTTCGCGATGGGCCAGATCTTCCAGTTCGCGTGCATCGTGATCATGAGCTGCGTGCGCACGGCCGCGACGCCCGCGTCGAGCGCGGGCACGAAGGGCAGCACCTGCAGCGCGAAGACCGACGCCACGAGCCAGCGGAAGAGCTCGTTGACGACGAAGAAGGCGGACAGCACCGTGAACGCGCCGGCCGTCTGGTCCGCGAGCGTCTGGATCGCGGTGATGAGCCACGAGGGCAACTCCGTCTCCCGCCGCGCGCGGTCCGCGCTGCGCGCGAGGAACGCGAACCAGGGGCCGACGACGGGCGCGATGAAGAGCGCGTTGACGAGCACGAAGGCGCAGAGGCGCTCCGCGTTGAAGGGCTGGCTCGCGAGCGTCTGCGCGAGGACGTCGCCGCCGCCGGCGATGGCGCCCGACGTCCACATGCGCGTGCGCATGGGGTTGCTCTTCAGCTCCGTGGCGTACCACTCGCCGCCGGGGATGGCCGACGCGTCGAGGGCGCCGCCGCGGCACTGCTTGAGCAGGCGCGGCGCTCGCTGGACGCGCTTCGCCGGCGACTGCAGCGCGACGGCGCTGTCGAGGATGATGAGGCCCAGGAGTAAGCAGAACATGGTGCTAGAGTTGATGCAGTGACCCTAGAGGAGAGGCTGCAGCGAGGTCGCAGAGCAGAACATCGACTGCGGTCAGTGTGACTGGAGACAACGTTTTGCGATCAGTGCTTCATCGGCTTGTTGCACCTTTTAACATTCGTCGTGTCATCACGGTCGGGCTGGGCAGCTCGAATAGCTTAACCCGACAGTCGCGTGCGCGTCAGCATCTCGCAGCTCGACGATGATGGCATCCGTCGTCAGAACGTGCGTGCTCTTCCAGGCGGCCGCCGGTCTCATAGCACCGACGAACAAAGCATGGCGCGCCAAGTGCGACGCCACCGGCGTCGTCTCGTACCACGACTTCGGCCTGCGCGTCGCCGTCGTCGAGCCGCCAACACACGCGCTCCACGAGCCGCCGGCGGCGCTGGAAACCGTCGTCGAGGAGCACAACAGCGCGATGGCGGGCAGCGCCACGCTCGCCGCGGGCGCCGTCGCGGGCGCCGCGAAGCCCGTCGCGAAGGAGGACGCGCCGGCCGTCGCGGACGGAGCAGTCGTCACCCTCCCAGCCGGGCGCGCAGCGGCACGTGCCCAGCGCGACGCACGTGCCGTTGCTGAAGCAGCCGAGGCGCCGACGGCCGCGCCGGTCGTCGCCGAGGCGCCGACGGCCGCGCCGGTCGTCGCCGAGGCGCCGACGCCCGCGCCGGCCGTCGCCGAGGCGCCGACGCCCGCGCCGATCGTCGCCGAGGCGCCCGCGGCCTCGCCGAAGCAGGACGGGCCGGACGCCGAGCCGTGGGAGAGAGGGTTCAGGGAGCGGCGCGCCGCCGTCTACGAGGCCAAGACCGCGCCGGCGAAACGGGCCGCGGTCTTGGCGTCGAAGAAGGCGAAAGAGGAGGAGGCCGCGCTGATCGCGGCCGTCGCCGCGAAGCCAGTGAAGACGCGCGAGATCATCGCCGCGCGCGGGGAAGGTTTCTCCACGACGTTCGGCCGCCTCACTGGCCGCTGGCTCTGGCGGCGAGACGCGAAGAAGGAAGCGATGAAACGGCCGTCGTATGTGACGGCGAAGCGCCGCGAGGGCCTCCGTTAGGTCTTCGCGGCGTCTCCAGCGCGACTTCGAGATACGCATGTACATCAAGCAGAATTGGCCCTCGCCCGACACGGCCGCGAATTTCCTGGGAAGTGTAGGCGCATATTGGGAACTTGGAGGCTTTCGGGTCGTAGTTGGCGCCGCGCGGGCGCGCTGCGGCAGCCGCTGCGTCGCGGGGCCGAGAACGAAGATAACGAAGCCGTTGAACTCATTGAAGCAGCTTCCGACCGGCTCCCGACTATGAGTTCGCGTCAGATCATCGCATGCTTGCTCGTCCGGGCGGCCACCGGCCTCGTCGCACCGACGAAACAGGCTCTGCACGTCGCCAAAGACGGCGCCGAAGACCGGCGCGTTGACGCCGCGGCAGCTCTACCGGTGCACGCGGCCTCAACTACTACTCGGCCTCCAACCACGGCCTCGCTCTACTCGGGCTCCGTCGCGGCGAAGGCAACACCCGCGCTCCCCAACGCCGAAGCGCCGCCGCCCGTTCGGGCGCTGGTCACCTTCGCGGGCGTCGTCGCGGGCGCCGCCGCCGTCGGCCTCGACGTCGAGCTCGCGGCCTTCGCCGCGGGCGCCGCCGCCGTCTTCAGCGCCCTCGACTATTACAGCCCCGTGGGTCAGCTCGAGCGGTCCGTCGGCCGTCTGGACCGGTTGTCCTCCGACGGCGCGAAGGATTCCGACGCGGGGGGCCGCGTCGCGGACGCGATCCAGGGCGACGCGCTCGAGCTCGCCGTCGACGCGACCGAGGCGGCGCCCCCCCACGCGCCCATGGCGGCGGCGGCGCCTCCTCACGCGCCTCCTGCAGCGTCAGGAGCTCCTCCCGCACCCGCGGCGGCGCGGAAATCGCGGAAGCTGTACTCGGTGGGCGAGGAGACGCCCGCGCCGGGCCGCGAGCAGGACTTCGAGGCCCACAAGGTGCAGGAGCCACAGTACGCCGAGTACGCGCCAGGAGCTCCTCCCGCACCCGCGGCGACCGCGCCCGCGCGGAAGCTGTACTCGGTGGGCGAGGAGACGCCCGTGCCGGGGCGCGAGCAGGACTTCGAGGCCCACCAGGCGCAGGAGCGGCAGTGGGCCGAGTACGAGGCGGCGCAGCAGCGGCAGGCCGCCCAGTACCAGGCGGCGCAGGAGCGGCAGTACGCCCAGTCCTTGTCGGCCGCGATGACGACGGAGGTGCTCTACCAGAAGCTCGAGCAGGCGCGCCTCGACCTCATGGGCTCGACGACGGTCGAGACCGCCACGCCGCTCGTCGCGCTCATCAAGGACATCACCGCCGCGATCGCCAACGTCGAGCGGCTCTACTAAGCTTCCTTTGTGCCTCTTTTAGCAAAGTCACGCCGGCTGTCGACGAGCGAGCGTGCACGTGAGCGGACGCGTGACGCTTTCGGCGGCTCATTGAACACCCGCTGAAAACTTCACGTTGACGCCAACCCAACCCGAAGGTCGAGAATTGGTGCTTCTGTCCGGCGCGACGCGATGTGCCCTCTTTTTGCGTCCCCCGCGCGCCGCCGGGCGCCGCTTCTCGTCGCATGCATGCTCACCCAGGCGGGCACCGGCTTCGTCGCACCGACGACGAAGAACGCATGGCGCGCCGTGCGCGTCGCCGAACGCGGCCCCGAAGAGTGGCCAACGGCCACGGGCTCGTTCTTCGACGCGGTCAAGGACGCCTGGTCGGAGCTTCAGGCGTACACTCCCGAGGCCGGCGAGTTGGCGACGCAGGAGCGGCTCGACGCCGCCAAGGCGGAGAAACACGCGCAGCCCGAGGGGAACGAAGCCGAGGCGGCGGAGTTCCGAGCCGCGGCGGCGGAGGCGGAGGCCGAGGAGCGCAAAAAGCACGCGGCCGCGGCCGCGGCGGCGCGGACCGAGGCCGACGCGCGGGCCCAGGCCGCCGAAGCCGAGGCGGCGGCGGCGGAGGCCGCGGTCGCGGCGGCGGAGGCGGAGGCCGAGGAGCGCGAAAAGCACGCGGCGGCCGCGGCGGCGGCGCGGGCCGAGGCCGACGCGTGGACCCCCGATGAAGATAAGGACGCGGCGGTCCTCGCGGCCGCCCATGCGGCGCTCGAGCGGATCAACACCATGCAGGCCCTCGAGCGGTCGCGCGCGCTCCTCGAGGACGGCCGCGCCGACGGCGCGGCGCCGCGCCCCGCCGCCGCGCGGCCGCGCGCGCCGCCGCGCGGCGCGGCGCCGCGGCAGACGACGAAGCCGAATCCGCTGACGCGGGCCTTCGCGTCGGCGTCGGCGAAAGCGACGGACGGCGTCGGCGCGGCCGCGTCGAACGACGTCGGCTCCGCTTCGTCGGCCGCGGGCGACGCCGTCGGCTCCGTGCTCGCCGGCGCGGCGGAAGCCCATGTCGAGGCCGAGCGCCTCGGAGCCGAGCGCCTCGAAGCTAAGCGCATCGAAGCCGAAGCGGCCGCGGAGGCCGAGCGACTCGAAGCCGAAGCGGCCGCGGAGGCGAAAGCGGAAGCGGAGCGTGTCGAGGCCGAGCGCGTCGAAGCCGAAGCGGCCGCGGAGGCGAAGGCGGAAGCTGAGCGTGTCGAGGCCGAGCGCATCGAGGCCGAAGCGGCCGCGGAGGCGAAGGCGGAAGCTGAGCGCGTCGAGGCCGAGCGCGTCGAAGCTGAGCGCGTCGAAGCTGAGCGCCTCGAGGCCGAGCGCCTCGAAGCCGAAGCGGCCGCGGAAGCGAAAGCGGAAGCTGAGCGTGTCGAAGCCGAGCGCCTCGAGACCGAGCGTCTTGAAGCCGAGCGCCTCGAAGCCGAGCGCGTCGAAGCCGAAGCAGCCGCGGAGGCGAAGGCGGAAGCCGAGCGCGTCAAAGCCGAAGCGGCTGCGGAAGCGAAAGCGGAAGCTGAGCGTGTCGAAGCCGAGCGCCTCGAGACCGAGCGTCTTGAAGCCGAGCGCCTCGAAGCCGAGCGCGTCGAAGCCAAAGCAGCCGCGGAGGCGAAGGCGGAGGCCGAGCGCCTCGAGGCCGCAGCGGCTGCGGAAGCGAAAGCGGAAGCTGAGCGTGTCGAAGCCGAGCGCCTCGAGACCGAGCGTCTTGAAGCCGAGCGCCTCGAAGCCGAGCGCGTCGAAGCCAAAGCAGCCGCGGAGGCGAAGGCGGAGGCCGAGCGCCTCGAGGCCGAAGCGGCTGCGGAAGCGAAAGCGGAAGCTGAGCGTGTCGAAGCCGAGCGCCTCGAGACCGAGCGTCTTGAAGCCGAGCGCCTCGAAGCCGAGCGCGTCGAAGCCAAAGCAGCCGCGGAGGCGAAGGCGGAGGCCGAGCGCCTCGAAGCCGAGCGCCTCGAAGCCGCGCGCGTCGAGGCCGAGCGCCTCGAAGCCGAGCGCCTCGAAGCCGAGCGCGTCGAGGCCGAAGCGGCCGCGAAGGCGAAGGCCGAGCGCCTGGAAGCGCAGGCGAAGGCGGCCGCGGAGGCGAAGGCGGAAGCCGAGCGCCTCGAAGCCGAGCTCGTCGAAGCCAAGCGCGTCGAAGCCGAGCGCGTCGAAGCCGCGCGCCTCAAAGCCGCGCGCGTCGAGGCCGCGTGCGTCGAGGCCGAAGCGGCCGCGAAGGCCGAGGCCAAGCGCCTGGAAGCGAAGGCGAAGGCGGCCGCGGAGGCGAAGGCGGAAGCCGAGCGCCTCGAAGCCATGGCCGCTGCAGAATTCAAGACCGCTGAGGAGGCCAAGGCTGCTGCGGAGGTCAAGGCAGCGGAGGAGGTCATGGCCCAAAAAGAGCGGGCTAGGAAGAAGCGACGAGCCGAGGAGCTGTTGATGGCGGCGAAGGCCGAAGAGGAGGCGCGCGAGGCGGCGGAGGAGACCGAGCGCTTCCGAGACCGGCGCCTTCATTCCGAGCGCCTCGAAGCCGAGCGCCTCGAAGTCGCGCGCCTCAAAGCCGAGGCGGCCGAAAAAGCCGCGGCCGAGGAGGCCGCGGCGTCCGTCGCGAGCCCCGAGCCGCCGCGCGTCGCCGAGGCGGAAGCGCCGCAGC